GGCTGCGGTCCCTCGGAGTCGGCGCGGCGACCCCGGCACCCTCCTCGCTGGCCCCCGGGTGGCCGTGTCCCCGCCAGGCTGGGTCCAGTCCCCTCCCCGGTATCGCCCCGGTGCCCCCCCGGTGCCTGCGGGGTCCCCAGGGTGCCCCTGTCCTCCGTACGGTCACCTCCCCGCCGACCCTGGGCTGGCTGCGGGGTCCCCAGGGCGGCTGTGTCGCAGCCGGGCGTCCCCTCCCCGCTGGCCTCGGGGGTCTATGGGGACCCCAGGGTGGCCGTGCCCTGGGTACAGTCCCCTCCCTGCTGGCCCTAGGGTGTCTCGGGGGTCCCCAGGCTGGCCCTGTGCTGGCTGGGGTCCCCTCCCTGCTAACACTGGGAGGGTCTGTGTGGTCCCCAGGGTGGCTTGGTCCCAGCTGGGCTGGTTATAGTGCCCTCCCTGCTGGTCCTCGGAGACCTATGGGGTCCCCAGGCTCCCTCTGGGGACACCCGGGTGGCTGTATCCCAGCTGGGATCCCCTCCACGCTGCCCCCGGGGCTGCGATGGGCTCCCCAGGGTGGCTGTGCCCCGGCCGGGCCGGGTGCAGCCCCCTCCCGCCGTGTCCGTGGGGTCCCCAGCGCGGCGGTGGCGCAGCTGGGCTGGGTCCGGCCCTCCCCTCCGTCTGGGCAAGCCCCAGCTGTGTCGGGAAATCAGCCCTGTCTGCACCAATTTCAGCTCCTCTTTGTTTCCCAACTGGCTTGGCCCCCGGCCGGGCGCTCCCCGCGCTCCGGGGGAGCCGGCTCCCTCCCTGCTGGGGCTGCCCGTGCCCCAGCCCTCGCCCCGAGGAGCCCGACAGCGACCGACGGCTTTGGGGGGACACACGGCTGGCCCGGGGCAGCCTGCGGCCACGGGGTGGCTGCAGTGCTGGGACTTCGGACGGCTGACCTGCTGCTCCCGCCGGCTTCCCTGGGGGCTTGGGGTTGACTTTCCTCCTGTCCCCATGAGCCAGGGTGGCTTATCCCCTGGCTGCTCCTGGTGTCAAGGAGCCCCAAGCCTGAAGCCAAGCATGTGACAGGGTCAAGCCTGAAGCCAGGCATGTGACAGGGTCAAGCTCTGTCCCAAACCGAGTCTGGTCCCCCCAGGTGTGGGCTGGGCTGCCCCAGGCTGGCAGCTGTCACCTGTCACACGTCCCCATCTGGGACACGGGCACCGGGGCTGGCAGGGGCACCCGCACCCCTGAGGGGAGCAGCACATGCTCCTGCTTCTGCGTGCCAGGGTGCCCCCAAACGCCAGGGATGCAGGACTGGGCGTGGGGGGCAATGCACAGCCCGGGCAGCCTGGCATACCCACTGTGTCACTGGAGGGCAGAGGGGCTTCAGACCACCCCAGGGCTTGGAGCACCCCAGCTGCATGGGCAGGGCAGTGCTGGTCCACTCGCATCCCCCTGTGGGCACCTTGCACAACCTCCATCCTTCCTGGCACGGGTGGCACTGGTTCCGGTGCCACCTTGGCAAGGGCAATGCCTGGCCACAGGGCCCGCCAGGTCAGGTCCGGCTCCCCTGCCAGAGCGAGGGCATCGCTGCCGGCAGCCCCAGGCCCCGTGCTCCCGAGCCGGTCCCGGATCTGGCACCCAGCCCAAGCAAATGGGTGAGCTTCACAAACAAGCTTCGACCGGCAGCGAGCACCTGCCAAGTCTCCATGCGCTTGGTGGGGCTGAGCCGCGGGGACAGGGATGCTTGGGGTGGGGGATCCAGCCCCGGCACTGAGGGGCCATGGTGCTGCACCCCCTGCCCAGGGCCGAATTGCCCCATCACCCTTGGTTGGGCACGGACCCACTGCCCGCTCCTGGCTGGCTGGGCAGGAAGCAGGCAGGGCAGGGCAGAGCCCGGGCAGTGCCTGGCACGGGTGATAAGGCTCCATGCCGGACGTCCAGGCAGCCTGGCTGGCCAGGATGGGGCCCTGCCACTGTCCCCGAGGGGCTCCACCATGCTGTGGGTACAGGGCCGTGCCTGTCTCATGCCGAATGCCCCAGTGCCACCAGAGCCGCTGACAGGGGTCTGGTCTCTGCAGACCCCCCCTGCCGTCAGCATGGCAAACCGGGGACCATCATACGGCCTCAGCCGGGAGGTGCAGCAGAAGATCGACCGGCAATATGACCCCGAGCTAGAGCAGATCCTGGTGCGGTGGATCCTGGCGCAGTGTGGCGGGGACGTCGCGCAGCCAGCACCTGGCAGGGACGGCTTCCAGCAGTGGCTGAAGGACGGCACTGTAAGTACCCCTGGGGCTGGCCAGGGCAGGGGGCTGCCGCACCGTGCCACCTGACCCCCGGGGTCCATCCCATCCAGGTGCTGTGCCGGCTCATCAACAGCCTGCACCCACGGGGCCAGGGGCCAGTGGCCAAGATCCAGGCATCCACCATGGCCTTCAAGCAGATGGAACAGATCTCACAGTTCCTTCAGGCAGCCGAGCGCTATGGCATCGCTGCCACCGATATCTTCCAGACCGTTGACCTCTGGGAAGGTGAGTGGCTGGGTGGGCATGGGGGACAGGGCTGGGGATGGACAGGGACAGGGCTGAGCCTGCCTGGGGCCTTGCAGGGAAGAACATGGCGTGCGTGCAGAGGACCTTGATGAACCTGGGCAGCCTGGCCGTGGCCAAGGGCGACGGGCTCTTTGTGGGAGACCCCAACTGGTTCCCCAAGTAGGTGGTGGGTGCTGGGGGGGGGGGGGAGGCTGGGCCATGGGGTCTCACGGAGACGCTGACACCCACCGTGCCCACAGGAAGTCGCAGGAGAACCGGCGCGTCTTCTCCGAGGACAAGCTGAAGGAGGGCCAGAGCGTCATCGGGCTGCAGATGGGCACCAACCGGGGTGCCTCACAGGCTGGCATGACCGGCTATGGCATGCCCCGCCAGATCCTCTGAGCGCCTACGCCGCCCCCCGGCTGCCGCCGGCACGGCCCCCCCAGGCCCTGCCTGTGAAGGGCCCCCCGGGGCCAGCCCCCAAACTGCCTTCCCCCCCCCCGCCCTTATGGACCAGCCAGCTGTTCCCCAGCCTGGGCGCCCACCCCCCTGCCAGTATTTCCAGGACCAAAGTCTTTTTTTATTATTATTATTTTGCTGGGCACGTGTGAGGGAAGGGGGCTGCCGCACTGCCCCCCCCACCGCTGCACCTGCAACCCCCCAGTGCCTTGGGGGCCGTGGTGCCACCCCAGCTCTGCCACTGTGCTGGGGGGGCAACCCCCCCCCCCCCAATAAATGGCTCCTCTTCTTTCCAGGCCTGGATAGTCATGATGGCGGGAGGGGGGCACACCTGGGCTGGAGTGGGGAGGGTGAGGGGAGACCCCAGGGTGGAGGGGGCTGGGGGGACCCGGGCCCAGGGGTGGTTGAGGGCACCCCAGCCTGGGGGCACAGGGATCCCACTACCTCGCGCCACAGCATGGTGGCAGCCAGGCCACGCGGAGGGGCGGGGCAAGGGCCGAAGGGGCGGAGCTGATGGAGCAGGGCAAGGGCTGAGAGGTGGGGGCGAGAGGGGCGGGACAAGGGCTGGTGGGCGGGGCTGGCTGGCGGGGGCGGGG